GTTACTGAAACAGTTTCGTTTCTCATGTTTCTGTTTATTTGTAATATGTGTGAGTGAAGCTGATCTTCTGTCGGTCAGCCTGCAGATTCCTGCATTCCTCCCTGCTCCTGTAATTACTCCCACTTTGGTCCTTCTGCTTTCTTTTGGAGGAAAACTAAACACATTTCCAAATTACACCCTGCGCTGCTTGCGGTGTAGCGTGACTTCAAATGTGGTCTTCACCAAACAAACACCTGTCTCACCCGTGAAGATGACCTGTAGCACAAACACAACATGACATCTGCAGCTTTGGTCACCAGCTTTGGACTGAGCCACACGAGCTGAGTGTGCGTATCTCACAAACCCTCGCTGAGAGGCCAAATACAGTCACAGTAATTCATTTTTAATTGTACCGCTAATCTTTTTGGTGTTTAATTAAAAGGCAGTGCATTGCTGGCTTATCTCAGAGCCGTGATTTAAGGCAGAGTGGAAGACAGCAGAAAAGGTAAAATCCTCTCCACAGTTGATGATACACTCAGCTGAGCGTGTCATTACATGCTGGGGCGGCTGAGCAATGCTGCGCAGACAGGAAAACAGTCATATGGCTTACAGCGTAATGCAGACAATTTGCTCACCTGTGTGCTCCTAATAACCTGCACATGCTACATAACAAACAGCACGTATGTTGCACACAGCAGGAGGCCGAGTGCAGAGGATTAGCTGTGACCTGTGTGTAGTGAGACAGAAACACCACAGCTGTCTTTGTCTTGATCTTAATTTTAAAATTACATTTCTATTAAATCGTGTTTCAAACATGTGAAACTCTTATAATCTTATTAACTGAAGCCACACCCAACCTGTGTCCATAGATGAGGCAGGGTTTCTTATCATGCACTAATCATCTACAGAAATCAAAGAATGACTGACTTGCATTTAAGCATGTAAGCTTTTAAACACAGATTTATTATAAAAAAGCCACTAACCCAAACACAGAGACCAATCAAAAATATGCGACGCTGAGAGCTCGGCAAGAGGTTTGCAGCCGAGTCTTCTAGTGCGCACTTAAAGACAAGTGGCATTCCACACACAGGCTGAAAGTCATAAACAAAGCCTCAGGGGGGGCGGGTGCTGGGAGAGACAGGCGCTACGGGTGTCTGAGCTTTGCTCTGCAGCTCTGGGCAGAGCATCCTTCTGTTCAGATTACTGAACACAAGATCCCAGGCCTGCAAAGAGAGGCCCAGCAGTCTTAACAAAGTACTCGAAGATGTTTGTGAGGACGTTCAGGGCGCTGCAGCTCTTCATGATCAGAATTCAAGAGTAACAGCAGAGTTAAAAGGATGCTTCTGCTTCTCACATAGGTCACCCTCATTAACACACTTTCAACACAGCTTACTTATACCTTGAACCACATGGTAAAAAATAAAGCGATGAGCATCCAGTAGAGCACCGGGGCTCACACAGTATGTGGGCCTCAACAACACCACCCACTCCAACCACAAACTCGGAGTCCTGACTGCTGGCAAGTTGAAAGCTCAGATCAGATCTGGGACCGAAGGAAATTCACAGGCACATATATCACTACCACAGTAAAGCAAGCAGTCCTCCCTACTGCTCACATGGCCCACCGTTTACTCCTCTCCAATGAATACAACCTCTCCTCACAGCAGTGCAGGATAAAACCCACACAGAACACAAGAAGATAAGTCTGGTCCCCGTCAGCTACTACTTATAATTATAATGCAGCGGCGGTCGATTGTAGGGAGTACACTTCAATAATCAGATGCATGGGGCCGCAGGACTTTGATCTGATTACAGACGTGATTTATTGGGCTTGCCATAATGATGCATCACCCCACCATACAGTATGTATGAAGCGGTCTTTTGCAGGCAGATTCTGTTTTTAATAATACAAACAGCAAACACTGACATGACTCTGCCAGCCTGGGAATCACTCAGCAAAATAAAAGACTGCATTATGTTTCAAACGTGGTGTCCATTTGAAGACAGAGACCGTAAAGTCTTGGCTGTCACTCGTAACTGGTCTCCACCCACCCAGCGAGCCACACCAAAGCTCCGAGAAGCCAACATGTCACCAGAAACACACTATTTAGTGAGCGGTGATGAGCAGCCACTCTAAGGCGTTTTTGTTAACTGGCTGGATTTCAGCTCTGAAGGAATTTTAATGTGAATAGAGCAGCTCAATCAGATTACAATAAAATGACCACAGGAAACCATGCCACTCCTGATCATCAGTGGGCTATGCATGGACTTGAAAAGGGTGGAAACAGTTCCCAAAGCCAAGAATATGAGTGACTCTTAGCTTTACTCATCCCTGGGCAGAGTCCTGAGCTACAGCTCATCTCACAGAGCACGGTGCTATCGCACAAAGGAAGGTAAAGCTCCCTAACAAGCCAGCGCTGTGTCAGTTTCTCTCGTCCACCTGCACGAGAGCAGCGGCCTTTCTTTCCCAGCTGTTGGCGAGCTATGCTGCTAATCCACGTCCCGTCTCGGTGGATGTTTGGCCGAGTTGTGGGTGGACAGTGACTCCATTAACTGCCTTTCGAAAAATGAATGGTATGCTCCTCTGCACGACCATTGTGTGCTCTGGCACCCCCGAGCTCAGTCACGGTAAACAGTAGCTGCTATTGGCAAAGCGGCGCTACAGGCTGCCCTGTCACAGTTACTTAACTAATTCCTGGTATTTCTCCATTAAAACGCACCTGTGTTCACAGACTGCTCCGAGCACAAGTGAGGACACTGAAGTCTGTGCTCTGTGTTCTCATGTTTGTGGCAAAGCTGGCTGTGATCTACAAAAGCATCTTCATAAAGGATTCTACGTGATGTACACGACATTAAGTGACAGCAGGCAGTTTAAGCACAGTAAAAACAGCCCACACTGGTGGAGCTATTAAGCATCTGTATTTACAGGCAGGCCTCTCCAGTTATTTGCCAATCAAATTACCAGCGGAGACTCTTGTGTGCAAGCATGTGCATGTGTGAGCCTTTCTTCCACCTCACCCTCGTCCTGGCTGAATGAACTGGACATGCACGACACTGGACAATACAAGCAGTGATCAAAGCATTCTTTGTATTTCTAACCATCATTGGAGATCTACCAAACCTCGGAGGGTTCCTTGAGGAACTTGACTTTTGTAGTGCAGATAGGCACCTACTAAACCTACCAAAGGCCAAACAGATGAATTAAACTGAGGTTTCACAGCCTGCTCAGACCAATCTTCCACTTGGCTGAAGCTGTGCAGGGCTTTGGCTGAGGAATGCTATGCATGACTACTTGGATCTGCAGCTCTGATTTATCCAGTTATGAATGATTTTTCGGAGTGTCAACTCCACGGGTGGTGCAGTGTTTTCAGTCCACATTTTTGTGTTCATAAAGCTGTTTGTTATCAGTTCTCTCAACCTCATCAAATCAGTCCTAAAACAGCAAAGTAAGAAGAAGAAACGTATGAAAATCTTACACGGCAGCTCAGAAACTTGGTGAATTCTTAAACAAACACAGAGGAGAGTTTGTTGATGTAATTCTTGTTCTTAAAGCAGATCGTTTCCGGATTAGGGTGCACAAATTGGCATAAATGCGCATAAAAGGCGCATTAGTGACTGTGTTATTGCAGGTATCTGACAGGGTTTGGGATCTTCTCCGTGGAAACTGACACGCTACGTTATAGCCAACATCTTCCAACACAGTTTCTGCTTCAGGCTGACATCACTGCTCACTTCACCTCACAGTTATCGGGACACATTTGTCAGGGTTATTCAGAACTTTGTAAAAAAACCTACAAATGACCTCAACTTACCGTTCTGTGACGTGCTCCCAGGTGAATGACGTAATCCTTTCACAGCAAGCGTTAAACGCAAAACACTTCAGACTCCCGCACAACTTCAAACCTATCAAAACATCCACTTCTCGTCCTTTTTACTTCTCTCCCTTCGGTGCAAGCTGACTTCATCCATGAAAACCCTCTCACCCCCCGTCTCAGACGCTGATTGGCCGCCACAGCGCCACTAAGGGCTCTGATTGGCTGCGTAGAACGCCAATCAAACCTCCGCCGTCTTCTCCGGATTTTATGGGAAAGAAGTTCGAGCAAAGCGGACACGTGACGTGTGAGGTGGCTCCCCCCTCACAGCTGTCCGGAGATGTTGAATGTTGATGTTGAAGGAAGTTTTTAGCTTATCCGTTAAAACCTGAACCGAAAACAACGAAGGAGGGATTTTTGTCCCCGGGAGGCACCGATGTCCACGCTGATGAAGAGGCTGGACTGCTGCTTCACGCGTGATTTACAGGAGCAGACACATAAAGTTAGAATAACGAACTCTGAGCCTTTAACGCTGAAACTTTCACTTTTTTTTTTAAGGACACAATGTTTTTAAGCATTTTTTTTTATAGATCCTTAAAAAATCTTGAGTAATTTCTCGTTTCTCTGACGGAGCTTTTTTTTTCATGTCTTCACTTTAAAATGAAGTATCGCAATAAGCAAAGTGACTCTTCAGACTGTAACAGATCTGTGTACGAGACAAACCTGCTGCAGCCCTGTGCTGCTGTTCAGGGGGAAATCATCCTTAAATATGCAAGAATGTGCTGACGGTTTATGGCAATGTTGAAAAAGAAATCAATTGAAAACTGGAGGTAATTATTCCCATTGCGCCACCTACAGGCAGATCCTCTGTTGCACATCTTACAGTCTAAGCTAAGCCCACCTCTTTCATTCTCCTCCCCCCTCAGCTCACACTGAGCTTCCCACCCGAAATGTAAGAGGGGGAAGGAACAGCCCTACAATAAAATCAGACATCCTCCCCTTTGAGCAAACATGTTGAATGGCTGCCAGTTAAATGTCACAGCTGCAGCATCTGCCTATCAATTTTGTTTAAAGCCTACATTACAGGTCCTTCAGTGCAACGTCACCCTCTGCTCTCCAGACCTGTGTGAACATGCCCCACTTACATGAATTTCTGGGTCACATGCAGGAGCATGGTGACAGGAGACAAAACAGAAGAAAGAGACACAATAACCAAGGAAACACTTTATTTTGAAACTCGGTAGTTTAAATGAATGCACAGTCCAACATAGATAACACAGAAGCTGTTAGTATATGGCACTGAATCAACAGGACATCTGTCCCACGGTAGTTCCCTAATTTCACAATCTAAATCTAACATGATCAGATTTATTTAAAGTGAGATCAGAGCTACAGCTAAAACAACATTTCACTCTTTACGAAGATGAAATTACTGAAGGTGTGAAAAGCTTCAATCTATTGGACTGAGGCTTCGAAGCGTTTTCCACTTTATTTAACACACAGGCAGGAAAACATCTAACGAGGGCTTCACTTATTTGCTGGGCAGCTTTTGTGCAGGCCGAGCCAAAAGGTGTTAATGTGCACGCTGTAGAAAGAAAATTACAACTATGTGCACAATTAAAATGTCTTAAAAAATTACTGAATATAACACACAATTCTGTTTCCCATGTACAATAACAACACAGGGCTATTCTGTTAATGAGAACTAAAAGCAGAGCTGTTAAAGTGGGATATTGTGGAGAAGTTGAACATTTGCAGCGAAAGACAAATAAAACCTTTCCTATGGTTTAAATACAGGAACACACACACAATCGCCATTAGTATGTTTTTATAAAAATCCCACACACATAAAATAAAACTCAGTGGATTTTAGAATACACCATAAATAAAGATGGGCTGCAGGGCTGCACCAGTTTAAACCACAGTTATCAGGGTCAGAGGTTTGCTTAGTGTAAGCACTAGTTCAGTATTTTTTCAGCACAGTTAAGCCTTTGTGAAGCGGACTGCTGTGACTCAGTGTAACTCCGCCATGATACATGCTTGTTTCTCTGCTGATGCAGTCCAAACACACCAATCTGATCAACACTTAGTATCTAATAACTTCAATGAGTAAACCTATGAGAGGTCATCCTCAAACATGATCCAGTTTTACCCCACTCAGGCAGCAGAGCTGTGTAACAAAGGGTCCACTCTGGAGTTCACAGTGCTTTGATTTAGAGACACTTCATGCTCACCTCAAACTTCCCTAAACAGACGGAGCAAATTTCACTGTCAATATGTACACAATAGAAACAGCTGTGGGCCGACAACATCTACTCCCAACTCATATTTAAGTCCAGTTTAATTCTGGTCTTTATCTCAAAGCAGATTTTGCTTATTAAAGCTTTTGTTGATCTTAAACTTACTGATTTTTAATGCAGGAGCTGCTCTCATACATATTTTATACTGAAAAAAAGTAATTTATTACTTTAAAAGTGGAGTCATGAGAGCGACTCCTTCACAAGAGCGACTCTTTCACAAGAATCAAATCTGCCATTTTTCAAACCCAACAACGAAGGAAATGGAGACACAAACTTCTTTTACCTGAAGTCTGACAAGAAAACGCAGACTGGGACTTTCTGCCCACCTTGCTATGATGACCCCACCCACATTGAGGTACTACACAATTGTAAAAACTGAGTAGAGTTGAGCTGAGGTGGTGCTAGAGGAAAAGATGCATTACAGAACAAAGGACTAGAGAGCCCAAGGGGCTTAAAAAGAAGTCCCAGTCTAACAAACGTAGAATTTAAAACAAGCATCCATCAAAAGTCAGCGCCCACTCAGTCTCAAATAATAAAATAAAAAGCCATAACTGAAACAGGAAATGACACCGATGATACTCCTTAACTGGCATGAGGTTTTCCAGAAGCCTCAGGCTGACCGTCGGTGGTGCCGTTCAGTGGGATCGCCTTGTTGCCAAAGTTCCAGTCCACAGGATTAAGAAGCTGCATTGTCTTCTTGTGGGTCCATATGGGGTTGAGGATAAGTGTGAGCAGAGTGAGGCCGGTGAAGAAGAGTATTAGCGGGGGCAGGGGCGCATGGGTCCACAGCTCCACCCGGTGGGTCAAGGTTACCCACCACATGTAGTAAGTGAGTACCATTCGACAGTGAAACATGTGAATCATCACCCACTGGTTGGCTTTCCAGAACAGAGTGCATGCCCAGCCAGCCTGTCAGGGGAGACACAATCTGTCAGACACCTTCTCTTTACTTCACATTCATGCAAAATCTGTTCAGTAAACCAGTGAGCAGAAGGAACAGAGAAAACTGTGGTTAGTGCTTCAGGTTTTTGTTGTTTTTAAAAGGGAACTTCCTCTTTCTAAGAACGTTCTGGTACAGTGAACATAATCACAAGGTGCACAAGACCCAGGAGGAAGCAAAACTTACAAGTCAAGCAAAAGGTCAAGCCAGTGAGATGCTACAGAAAGCCGGGCCTGGACTTACCAAAGATTACGTACAAATACAAGTCCGGAGAATGAGATGAAAGGTACGTGCATGTGACACGATCATGCTTACCTTCAGCAGCATCCAGGATATACAGGTGAATGGCGTGCTCATCTCCAGCAGGAGGGTGACCATGGGCAGGAAGTGGCCCAGGGAATCCCACACCACCGCCCCCACGTATCCCGACAGGGCGAAGAAATGGTGCGTGGCCAGTGGGAGGTCGAATGACCAAAATACCACACTGGAGGCGTGAAGTGCAACATTCTCAAATGCAAAAAAGCCCGTGGCTGTGAGCACGTTAAACCATGACCAGTCTTCCTGGCCCCTCACTTTGTCTCTGGTGATTGAGGAGTCTTCAGTGAGGGCCCGGAGACCGGCTACTGTACTCTGGATCCCAAACACTGCCCGGGTGGCAGCAAGGTTCCAAAAAACCTTTTCTTTGGCCAGCAGGGACTTGTAGGTCTGGCACAGAGACACAGACAGGAGGTGACAGAAGAGGAACACTACAGTATAGAAGCAGAAGCCAAGGCCGATGAGCTGGAGGCGATAGTCCCATAAGAAGTACTCTGCACTGGGCTGGTAGAGGCGGCCGGTGTGCTGCTCGGAGGCCATGGCGCTTTACGGAGGATCACCGAACCTGAGCGCGGGGAGGGTCACCTGAAGGTGGAGCTGCTAGGAGCATGGTGTGTGTGGCCCACCTGCAACAGACAGACAACACACCATCCATTAACGCAGCACTGTGCCTGTGAAAACACTCCACGAAGCCGTGGACCTCGGTACACACGGATCATTTTATTTAAACTCTATGTAAGCCTTCAATCTGTGTTCATTTCATCCGCCGGTGACAAACTTTCACTACAGAGTTCTTCGAAAGAAGAGTCAGAGAAAAGTTCGATGTTAACATCGCGACATATCTCACAGAATATTTAAAAATGATTAAATCTAAAGCAGTTTACTTACTAACTAACACAGAAACGTGTAACTTACCGGACAGAAGCGTTTCCAGGGAGTACAGCGTCCCTCTGTAACCGATAGTACCCCCAAACAGGAAAACTCACATCATACGACTCCAATTTGGTCATGTGACATCCACACAGGAAGTCCAGCCTCGCTGTACTTTGCAGACATCCCATTGGTCAGCGCTGATCAGCCGTAGAATCCCATTGGTTGCCTCTTATTTATATTTTCTGTCTGGAAACAGCCTCTTTAATATTAATCACGATTATCTATTATTACGACCGGATTCCTGTAGAAGAAGTCGCAAGATTCACCTGAATAAACCGCTTAACAAATAGTAAGATAAACAAATAAACCCTCACAGTAATAAATAATATAGTCATGTCAATAAAATGCAACTTTCTGCTAAAAAAAAAAGAAGTAATAAACGTGTGCACAGAACTGCATTTTTAACTATTAGAGGTGTGCTACTAGAACATGGCATGTGTGTCTATCTCCGTCCAGCAGAGGGAGCCCTTGCATTGTGAGATTCAAATGAAGTGGCCTCGCTTACATTTTTCGTGGTTTTGTTTTTGAGGAGTTGATGTGCTAAAGCTTTGATTTATTTTATTTCACTGTATTATTAATGTGTTTTATTTTCATTTGTTGCAAGAGCCGTTTAACAAATAGGAGCGGACCTTGTGTTCTACTCTCACTGGACTCTTTCTCAGCTTCCTCTCAGGTTTACTGGGTAAGACAAATTACCCATTGTTGTTTACCTGGCAAAGAGCTCATAGGTCAGAATTCTGCAGGAATGAAAAGCATTAAAAACATGTAATATCCAGCATATCTTTGCCTGACTTCGACCTTTATGGCCATTACAAGGTCTTTGAAACATTTGGACACGGATCATCTGAAGTTTAGAGTACTGATACTGTACCAGTGGTCGCATTCTTGCAGACAGTCAGCCTGCAGATCTGTAGAATTTATGGATGCTGCCATTGCTGTGGTGCATGAAATGCATTACAAGAATATAACCTGCAAATTTTAAAATGTAGCCATGCTGGGATATAGATTATGTCAATGCTGAATATAGAACTCTTTAGTGCCAGAAGCATTATGTGGGTTGCTTTAAAGAATGGTGTTCAAGGGTAAGCTGAACACATGGGCACTGTCGACTCGCATCAAGAAGCACCTGTGTGATGTTGCGTTTTCTCTCCAAAGGCGTGCATGGGGTCAGGTTAATTGCTGGTTCTAAATTGGCTGTAGGTGTGACCGTGAGCTTGAAGGGTTGTCATCCTCTGCGCGCTAGCCCAGCGACAGACTGACAACCTTTCCACGGTGGACCCTGTGACAGCTGGGGTAGGCCTCGGCTCCCCCGTGACCCTGAATTGGATAAGATTGATTTATAGTAAGCTGACGCACGCTGATCGCTTTTGTTAGATGTGAAAAAACAAAAGCCAGTTCATTCAGTTATTCTTTTATATAAATGCCAGTTCTTTGGTGAACCTCCTGACACACTATGAACATCGGAAAGTAAGTGTACCAATTTCTTTGACTGATGATTCAGAGCTACACTTCATCTTTATTTCACTGCTATTTTCGTTAGCGGGCCACAGATCTAAAATGCATGAAATGTCAAGAGCGGTTTGATGAATTCGTTTAGCTCCCCTCCGGTGAGAGAAAATCCCTCCGCTGGAAGTACAGTTACTGTTAGGAAAGGCATCAGAAAGCTGTAATTCTGGCATACCCACTCCAGTGGATTAAATGCAGTGTAATGTATAATGTCTAAGTTTACGTGAATACTTTTGCTGTGATGATCACAACAGCAGCGAGTTACTGTTCAAAGTAAAAAGGACCACAAAGACAAACTTGTCTCAAACTTTTTCTCAAAAAATTTAATTGCAGAATTATTTACACTGAGTGAACTAAGCAATGATCAACGAGTCAAATAGGCAAAATCTCCCAACAGCTCTGAAAGAATGGAGGAAAATGCATATGGTATAATAATAATACAAAATAAATTAACGATAAGGTAACTTGCACTGAAAGAACGCGCCTTGAGAGATGCACGTGTGGCAGACTTAAATAAATATATAACAAATGTACATCAGTGTGACAGTGTCATAATTCTTAAAAACAAGAATAAATAAGCCTACATTCAAAATCAGTTTTTTTTTTTTGCATGCCATCATATCAGCTTAGAAAGGAACCATAACAAAGTGAGATTAACAGCAAAACATGAGCAAGTGCAGAAAATAGTTGTTTCAATGAAGCATATATTTTATATTTATATATCTATATATATATTTCTTTACAAATAATGAATATTTGGCATTATATTCATCCTTCCTATAGATATGATATACAAGAGATGAAAATAGTTTTAGCTAAACAACTACCTTTTTTCATTTTGTCTAGTAATTATAGAGTTGTTTCACATTCCAACTTCTAGGAAGTGTTGTATCAGTGTGTTTCTTTCCATGGCACGATTACCAAAAAGTCCCCTTGAAATAGTTCACGTCATGGGTTCTAGAGTTTAAAGCGCATAGACAGTCGTACCAGAAGTGAGGCCACAGAATGTGTAGATACAAGCTCAAACCGCATGTTTGGAGATGGGTCGGCGACGGCAGTCATGGTTTGATTACGTAAAACTAATGTGCAGTAAGAACTTTACAGTTTGCTGGATAAGTCAAAGACATTGCACTTGCAGTTGGCCGCTGCCCTCCTGGCACTGAATACAGCATTGTTGAAATTTTGTACGCTCGGGGTTCACACGAGGTTTCAGCGGGCCACCTAAAGGAAAGCGCTGCAACTGCATCCTCAAAAGAAGACTCCCTTGGCGCTCACAGTATCGGATTCATGCTGCGCGTCATCCAGAAGGATTCAGCGCAGAATAAGCGCTACAGTCGGCTTCGAGGGAATACAAGATCGCTCTGTGAAAAAGAGTTCATGTGAGAATGCGTTTACACCTCAAAAGAAACGGTGTCATCGATGGAAAACGATTTTCACTGGGAGACAAAACCCAGCCGTCAGAGCAGCGAGGTTTGTCTGTGGGGGGATGAGGGAGGGATGATTTCTGCACAGTTCTTATCTCTAAATGCATCTGTAAATTTACTCACACTCGTCTCCTTATTGCCCTTTTCCATCTCCCCTGGTTCCTTCAAGGTCCGACTAGAAAAAAAGGCCTCCTGGCAAATTATGCGATGCGTCTTAAAGGTGCAAATGAAATGCTTGAAACTGAATCAGGTGGCGGTTATACTACGTTTTTCACGGCCCTGCTCGAGATACGTAAGGGAGAAACTCCTCAGTCGTTTCAGCCTCAGCCCAGCAGAAACATGTAGTGCTGATGCTTAAGTTCTACAGTGCAGGCCACAATTCAGCAATACATTTATCAACACAAGCTTTGAAGGGCCTTAGAGGCAGTTTGCTTGATCTCACCAAGGACCCAAAATCTTACATAAGCTGCTTTGCTTAGTCAAAGAGAGGCTAAAAATGACCCGGCGCAGCAGCAAGCGATCCTCACATGAACAGCCTTCCAGCTACAGAACAGCACACAGCACCAGCAGTTTGGGCCTCAGCGCCGAGCTCTCGTCTCCTCTAAGCCAGCATATGTCAACCCGAGTCTGTCTCTCTGCCGTCTGTCTGCCACTGTGGCAACAGCAGGGGAACGTCCCCGCTCTGCCAACTGCCTGGCATCGCACACCCAGACGCTTTCCAGATACCCACTGTCTCACTATTAAAGCTCCCTGCCTCTGCAATGAAAAACCCAACAGAATTCGAGCTCGCCGTGTTTTCTTGTTTCATTATTGAAACGCTGTCACTCCATCGCAGACTTTGGTTACCTGGTCATTCTGTAATGTGTTGTCTGAGGTTTGCTACAAGAAGTTTGGCAGATGAGGAATGTGTCATACATGGTAGCTTGAAAACAAGTGTGAATCCCACGTATGCTCGGAGTTTGTCTTCAAGGATGCGTATGGTTCAAAAAATACTGCGTTTACTCAAAAGTACAATTCGCAGGAGCAAAAAGTAAATCAAGGTATCTAAAATACAATTTATCAAACAGCTGATGGCACGGCGATGGCGTGTAGATCTGTGTGGGGGTGCGGCGGGCGATGGAGGTCAGGCCACAGCTGGGTAGTAATAGGAAAATGACGCGCAGACCTTAGATTGACTTAGAGTCAGCATTGTGCTACAAAAACAAGATCCACGCTCACACATCAGCAACAGACACACACACACACTATTCAAATCCAGGGACTTTGTTTTTTTACTGCTATCATATGATTCATATCCCTGAACCCACCCATAATGAAGCCAGGCACTCGGGCACAATTAGTCATAAAAATAGATTTTTAAAGTGATGTACCGTTCAGTGGACAGCGCATTATTTCGACTTGATTATTTGTCTAGTACTGTACTGATTAAATAAAAAGCAGCACCATTTAGTGGGTTGATTATCCCAAAGGTTTTACTAATAGACTTCAGTCTTTAGGTCAATGATTTGACAGCGACATCAGCAACACAGTGGAGCGAACGTCGAAATCACCGGCACCAAAGTTTCATAATTAAGCAGCAGAATTTTAGCGTTTTGCTCAGAATGAATTTATGAGGAACACAATCACGGACCAGGATTGGATCAAACCAGCTATTCCTTCACTGATTACAATAGTTTTACTGGTGTGTATTGCGCCCGTACAGATTGACAGCAAACTATTTTGAGTCGTGGACCCCTGGAGGTCCCCGAACCACACTTTGAAAACCCCAGACCTCTGTAACAGTTGCATATATAGATGTAGGTGATCTTTAGCTTTTGTTTGTGTGGAATTTAGGATTGTGCAAATCTCCATTCACTACTTAAAATTGGCATCGGTGTGCACAGCCCGTTCTTTCTGTTCAGCAGGGCTCTTGCAGAGTTTTAGCTATTTGAGACTTGCTGCTTGCATCCCTCTGGAAAAGCCTTTGCCCCAATTTCATTTCATTATTCCCCATCTTTTCCTAAAGGGTGTCAGCCACAGGGAGACTTCAAACTACACTGAACTTTTCAAGAAATGGGAAAAATTACAAAGTACTTCATAGATTAAAGAAGCGCGTATGCAGATATTTTGTTTATGTTTTGACATTTTTCTCTCCATCACTCCTCATTAACTGTGGCTGAGGGTG